CCCTCTGGGCCAGCCCTGCCCCTGCCAGCACCCCAAAATGGGCTGGGCTACCCCGGCAGGGGCAGGGCCACGGTCCCCCAGGGTTTGGAACACACAGCAAAGCCCTCTGCTCCCTGGCATGGCACATGCCCCTGCTGGGCCAGGAGCCCTGTCCCCGTGTCCCTGTGCCCCGCTGGGACAGCAGCCTGGCCTCACCACCTGGCCTGTCCTTGCCACTGGCTGGTGGTGGGGATTGTGGCTCCAGATATCCCTTTCATCCCAGCAGGGGCTGCTGGATTTAATTCCCTGCACTTGGGTATAAAGTGAGGGTCCCATCCAAAAAGCAATTTGTGTTTCTCAGAGCAGGCAGTCAGAACCTTTCCCATTAAAATGTAAATTTAGCCCTGTTTTCTGGCATCTCTTTTCCTTCCTTAAGCTAAGAAGAATATGAACTTGTATTATTTTTTCCATCAACGATATCTTCCCCTCCATTTTGTTTTAAGGAAAAAAGCTGCCTGATATACACCTTTAACAAATTAAATTTGAATTGAGTCTGACAGCACAACAGGGATCCAGATTACAGGGAGATGTCCTGGCCTAATTGGAGTCATTGCCAAGCAGATATTTGTAGAGTGTTAACCACAGAGGGGACAAAGAGAGCAAACATGGTCTCTGCACCAAATGCTCATCTCAGCAGCATTCCCAGCTGGCTGCAGGACCAGGCTGCTCCCAACACCAGCAGCACCTTGGTGGTGTCCCTCAGGAACACCCTGGATGCTGAATTTAGTTTTATTGCAATCCCAGCCATGCTCAGCCAGGCACCACAGAGACACATTGGTCAGCCCTCTGCCAGTCCTGGGGCTCCCATGTCAGCCAGGTGTGGGGTTCCTGCCCTGCCATCCATCCCTGCTCCATTTCCATCCATCCATCCATCCATCCATCCATCCATCCATCCATCCATCCATCCATCCATCCCTCCATCCCTGTCCCACCTCTCATCTCTCCACAGCTGCAGCCATGCAGCAGAGGGGAGTGGATGTCTGGGAACCAGCAGAGGGTTTTGGCCAAACATGCTCAGAATAATAAAACCAACTGTCCTGCTCACTGCAGGATTTAAAAGATGATGTTTCATTATTAAAACCCCAAATCTCTGTGAACTCACCATTTCTTTTGCTTTCAGACCCCTGGAGGCAGGGAAGGGCTCTCTGCACACCTGGGGAAAGCTGAAGGATGTTCAGAGAATACAACTATACAGCAAGGAGGAAAAGCTGAAAATTCCCCTCGGCCCACATTGGGCAGGTAACTGCCACAAGCTTGGGAGCTCCTCATTCCCCAGAAATCTCAAAATCTCATGCAATCAAGCTGTGGCTGATGACAACTTGCACCTGACAGAGCTGCACCAGGCCACCCCCAGCCCCTGAGAGCAGAGTTAATGGGGAGCATCACCCCAGGCCCTGAGGAGAGTGGGCTCATCAGTAAAAATGAATGGTTTCATTGCCAGGGGGATCTGATCCAGTGTTTTCCCTGTCCTGGGGACCAGAGTGTCCCCCATGGCTTTCCTACAGGGCTGCCCCTGGAGCCCAGCACATCTTGGACTGCAATGGAATGCTCTGTCCCACAGCAGCAAGGGAATCAGCAGCCTCAGCCAGCATTAATTATGCAGAGCATAATTTGCTGGTAAGGAAAAAAAAAAAGTTCTAATTTAATCAAAATGAAATTAATAGTTAATTTAACAATTCCACAGTGAAAAGCCCTTGACCTCTGGACTTCTCCCTGCATGCAGGGACTGTTGATGGCTCCTGCAGTGGTGACATCCCAGGGCACCCCAGCACTTCCCCACCTCAGCTGCTCTGCCCAGAGCCCTCTCCCCAAGGTGGCAACACCAGGGTGGGTGAACCACAGCTGGTCTGAAATAGGTTAAAATGGAGAAGAGGTGGATGAACACAGACCATGTTAGCTTTAAGCCCTTGAAAAATTCCAGTACAAACACATATTTTTTTAAGGAGCTGGAAAATAGGAAGAAGATCAGCCAGGCAGAACATCCTCCAGAAAAGGGAGCTGAGAGCAAATCTGACAAATGTACCTGGGGTGACCTGGAAGAGGGAATGCTGTCTGAGGAGGCAGACTCTCCAGATGACCTCAAGGTCCCTTCTGACTATATTATCTATACTTCTACAGACTAATTCCTTAAATCAGTATTAATTAATTAATTAATTCCTTAAACCAGCAGGGCAGGCTGGGCTTTATCTGGAAGCATCTCCCCAGGCAGTGGACTATTTCCTAGTCAAGGCATTACAAGAAAATAAACCAGAAGAAGATTAACATAAATATTGTTTGCAAGACTTAATCAGCAGCAAATTGCGATTTTGTGTTTCCAGCTTAATTAGCATGAGTCTGGTTTTCATTGTGTTGGGAAGCAGAACGAGGGCAGTGGCAGCAGCAGCACAGATCTGTGTTTACAGTGATGGAGGAAAACCTCTCCCTGCTCAGGGCTCTTGGATCCTCAGCCAGCTGCATTCCCACCAGCTCCAGCGGGCAGGAAAGGAGCAGGCACCGAGCAGCTCCACCTCCACCAGCAGCCCTGGCCCGGCAGCCTGGCCCTGTGCTGCTCCTTTGCCCCACGAGTTTGAGCTGGCTCTGCTAGTGGGGTTCTTCAGATGCATTTCTGTTTGCAGGGCGAGTGCTAATTGAAATGCAAAGCGTGTTTCTCCTGCTCTGAGTGCTCACAACAATGTGATTTCCACAAGGGCTGCAAGCACAAGGGTCACCCTGCTCTGTGAGTGTTTATGAAGGTGTTTCAGTCCTGCCTAGCACATTTCCAGAGGTAGCTCCCCACTCCAGCAGAAGCTGTGTCTGATCCCCCTGTCCCAGCTGGGCTGGGGGTGTATTTTCACTGTGTCCCCAGACAGGTCACCGTGTCCTGGTGACACTACAGGTGCCACCACCACATCCCCTGCTCCCAGCACACTGCAGTCAGTGTAGCAGCAGGGCCCCAATTTGGGAAGTACCAAGGACACTTGGACAAGCAACAAATCCCCGGTTTGCTCCATGCTGGCACATTCCAGAGGTGCTGACAGTGCCCTGACACTGACACACAGGTGTGTCACCTCAGCTGGTGCCAAGCACATCGTGCTGACTCACAGTGCCCCACAGCCAGCCAGAGGAAAGAGAAAAGAGGGGATTTATAGTGCCTGCAGTTTCTGCAAGGGAACGACAGCACTGGCCCTTAACCCATGCCATGGCTCATCCTCTTGCTGCTGCTGGTACAAATAAAGCTGTCACTTGCAGGGACACTGAGCACTGGCAGCAGGGAACGAGCCGTGAGCAGAGGCACCAGGTGAGATGGTGACACGTTTCTGCAGTTCTCTGCCCACCCTGGCTGCTCACAAATGCCTCTGCAGGTTGTGATGAGGATGAGGCTCTGAGCACCCCAGAGCCAGTCCCATCCAGGCAAGGCAGCCCTTCCTCAGGCTGTGCCCCACCTGGGGAGCATCACTCCCCACACATGTGGGAAAGGAGCCCTTCCTGGCTCAGCTCCTCCTGCACGTTTCAGAGTCCCCAGGGGGAGGAGGAAGAGGAGGAACTGCTGCAGCAGAGCCCCCACAGCCAGGGAAGCAGCTCCTGGAGGCCCCTCAGCAGCATGAGGCTCTGTGGGTGCCCAGGGCTCGTGGTGCAGGGCAAGGGCAGGGCCACAGCTGCACCCAGCTATCCATGGTGCAAGATCAGCTTGTCTGAGCAGGGAAATGCATCACTGGGAAAACAGGAAACCTTTGGAAAGTGGATGGCAGGTGTGAGTGATGGATGAGCCCAGCAAGGATCGATGAACAGCTGATGAGCCGAGGAAAGAGGCAGGGGCTGCTCACTGTGCAAATCCAGCAGGGAAATTGCTCACTGTGTTGGGAGGTTACAGCCAGCCCCCAAACAAACCTGACACCCCTGCAGGCGTGGGGGCTCCAGGGCACCAGTTCTGGCTCTGGTGTGAGCTGGGGGATGTGGAGAGTCACCTGCCCAGATCCACTGAGCCCCAGGGCCCCACTCTGCCCCTCCACTACCCCAGACCCCGTGCTCAGAGCAGTGCCTGCCAGCACAGGGACAGGCAGGACAAGGGCTCCTGTGCAGGCTAAATGATCCCTCTGATTTCCCTCAGCCCCTCCATCCCCAGGATACTCGCCTGGGAAAGGCAAGGTAAGAGCAGAGATCACACACCCACTCTGCAAATGACAGTAACTGCCCCAGCCTGGTGCTTTGGGAATTTCACAGCAGAAGCTCCAGCCAGGCAGTGCTGACTCTGGGGTCAGCTGTGTGTGCAGTGCAATCCATCACAGTGCCTGGGACAGCTGCTTGGGAGCAGAAACAGCAGAAAACTCCTCCATGGCCCTCAAGACACTGGGAAAAACCACACCAGTGCAGGCTGTGCAAGGGCTGGGTGCAGGCAGGGCAGTGGCCCTGGCACTCCACACACATCCCAGGGACAGAGCTGTTCCCCCAGGGACAGGATCCTGGCCCCACACCTCCCCCTCCTCACTTCCCAGTGACTTCACTTGTCAATCAATGATCAATACCAGACATTTTCATCCATTCCCTGTTTACTTCAGCTTAGCACCATTTCAGAGCAAAGCCAAGAGAGAATTCTACATTTAAACGAAGGAAGATCATCACACCAAGAGCTTATTTCATTCTCTGCATGAGGAAGCAGGTTGTTCTGAGCAGCTCTAGCCTGGGGTATCTGAACACTGAATTCTCAGAAGCACTGACAGTTTAATCTCAGTAGGAGGTTTTGATCACATTTAGAACAGAGAACTGTAACACCCTCGAAGCCACAGACCTCCAGACCCCTGTACTCCATGTCTGCCTTCCTTCCAGTGCAGATGGCACAGGGTGAGCTCTGGGGCACACAGGGCCTTCCCCACACCACCCTGACAACAGTTTAACTTTCATAATCACTGTATTCACAAGGCCTGACCAGGGTAACAGAACAGACATTTGGGAACAGTACAGCAGCTCAAAAAGGCCCAAAAGGGTTTTCCAGTCTTTCTTTTTTAATATTTTTTAATTTACCTTGACATAACCCATCGACCTTATTAAACAAGGCCAAGATCACCCACTCCTGAGTGCACAGGCACACAGTGCCCAGCTCCACCAGCTCCCAGTCCCAAGGGTTAGGAAGATTCTGGTACCAAGCCATACTTCTTCTTCAGGATTTCAACTGTGGGCGTTAGTGCACTGCAGGGAGAAACAGAGCCATGAGAACAAAGGGTTTGGAGCATTAAAACTGCATTTTCTGGGGAAGAGCAATCAGTGAGACACAGGATTGCACTTAGAGCCAAGGAGAGCACAGACTCCAGAAACTACAGCTTCACACAGAAACTGTGAGAAAGGGAAATTTGAGAGCTCCTGAGGATTTCTGTGTGTGCTCATAATTAGGTTAACACTAATGGGAAGGTGGCACTGCCGTGGGCAGTGAAGCAAAGCAAAGCAAACAAAGCAAAGCAATGCATGCCCCACCCCTATCCACAAGCTTTGCTTCATTTAAAGCAAAGAACAGCCCCAGCCCCACTCACCAGCCAGGCCGGATGATGGAGAACTTCCCTGACACAGATAAATCAACCACAGTTGACCCCAAGCGACACTCTGGGCTCTGGATGTCTCCTATGGGGCCTCCATCAATGACCAAGGACAGCTGAGGCCACAAGTCCTGGAATTCCTGCAAGAGAGCCACGGGCAACAATCCCGACAGCAATTTGTATCATTTAAATAAAATAAAAATACAGCAGCAGAGCAACACTTGGTTTATTGCTGAAGCTCAACTGCGAGAGCCTGGGGCTCTGCCAAAGTGCCCCAGGGACATGCCAGAGGGTGAAGGAGCCTCACCAGCACGGTCAGGGTGCTGCCCTGGGAGCTGATGTTGGCGCTCGTCAGAGCCAGCGGTCCCGGGCAGGCTCGGGCCAGGTCTCTCATGAAGGGGTGGTCTGGAATGCGAACACCAACCAGCTGCAGGGAGGGACAGGAGGGTTGGACACACAGAAACTGGTTTTAGTTTTGCGTTGCCTAAAGCTCTCTTAGCTTAAAGCTGAAACTCGAGAGAATTGACAGATCTACATCTGCTGGACCTGTGATAACACAAGTCTTAAGCCAGGCTCTAATGCTGGTTTATGCCATGTCCAGCTCAGTCACAGGGAGCAGGACAGCACAGGGACCACTTTTGGGGACAGCTAAGGACAAATGCTACAGCAGCAGCACAAAACCAGCCTGCCCCCAGTCCTGCAGCCACGACCTACCGATGTGAACGGATTCAGGTCCTTATTCAGCTCTTCTGAACGCTCCAAGACCAGGGTCACTGGTCCCGGGAGCAGGTCCCGCAGCAGCTCGTCGGGAACATTGACACGGCAGTACCTACAGGGGCAGACAGCGGATCAGGGCGCGCACACGGAGTGCGCCACCGGCCCCGGGGCAGCTCCGGCACGTCTCCCATCCCTCCCGCAGCCCGCCGCGCTCTCCGCGCACCTGTAGAGCGGCTCCACGTCGCCGAGGCAGATGGCGAGCGGCTTGGCGCCGTTCCGCCCCTTCAGGCTGTAGATGCTGCGCACGGCGGCCGAGTCCTGGGCCAGGCAGGCCACGCCGTACACCGTGTCCGTGGGCACGGCCACCAGCCCGCCCGCCTGCAGGGCACCGGCCGCGGCCGCCACCGCCTCGCTCCAGTCGGCGGCGCGGCCCGGCTCGGGGCGGGGCCGCCACCGCCGTTGCCATGGCGACCGGGGGCGCGCCGGAGCCGCGCGCGAACCGGACGGAGCCGGCGGGAGAGCGGCGAGTGCGGAGAGGGGACGGGGGGAACGGGAACGGGAGCGGCCAGGGGGATCGGGGGAACAAGGGAGGAACGGAGGGAACGGGAGCGGCCAGGGGGATCGGATGGTCAGGGGAGGGAACGGGAGAGTCCAGGGGGATCGGGGATCCGGAGAAGGGACGGGGGGACAGGGGAGGAACGGAGGGAACGGGAGCGGCCAGGGGGATCGGATGGTCAGGGGAGGGAACGGGAGGGTCCAGGGGGATCGGGGGTCCGGAGAAGGGACGAGGGCAGAGGGGGGAACGGCGGGAACGGGAGCGGCCAAGGGGATCAGGGGTCCGGAGAAGGGACGGGAGGACAGGGGAGGAACGGAGGGAACGGGAGAGTCCGGCGCTGACCGCTGTCCCCGCCGTCCCCCCGCAGGTTCCGGATGACCTGGGGATGCTGCTGGAGCTGCTGGAGCTCCGGCAGCGGCAGCTGCGGTCCAGCATCGCCGCCTGCGAGGAGCTGCGGGCGGCGATAGCCGCGCTGCGGGCGGCGCTGAGGCCCGGCCCGGCGGGCGGCGCGGGGCCCTGAGGAGCCCCGGCGGGACCGAGGACGGGCCCCGCCGAAGGGACCGAGGGCTCTGGGGCTCCGGGAGCGCCGGGCGCTGCTGGGGGAGCGCGGGCAGCGCTGACGGCCGCACCGCCGGGCTCCCCCGCCGTGGCCTTGGAGCTCGCTCGGTGTCGCCGCGTTCGTGCCTTATCGCATTAAATTTACACTTCAAAATAAAGCGAGACGGGCTCGGTCTGTATCTCCCCACCCCCGTGTGCTCCTGAGGAGGAGGCACAGCCCCAAGGCTGGTTCTTCCCAGGCCGCTCGGGGAGCGGGGCCAGCCCGAGCCGGCGCTGCGGAGCGCGGCCCGAACCCCTCGGAGCTCGGCCCGAACCCCGCGGAGCCCGGCCCGTTCAGGGCCCCCGCTCTGCCCCTGCCGAGCCCGGCCCGAACCCCGCGGAGCTCGGCACAAATCCCGCGGAGCCCGGCACGAACCCCGCGGAGCCCGGCCCGTTGAGGGCCCCCGCTCTGCCCCTGCCGAGCCCGGCCCGAACCCCGCGGAGCTCGGCACAAATCCCGCGGAGCCCGGCACGAACCCTTCGGAGCCCGGCACGAACCCCGCGGAGCTCGGCACAAATCCCGCGGAGCGCGGCACGAACCCTTCGGAGCTCGGCACGAACCCCGCGGAGCCCGGCCCGTCCAGGGCCCCCGCTCTGCCCCTGCCGAGCCCGGCCTGCAGGCAGAGAAGCCGGGAGAGCCGAGCAGGCAGCAGCTGCGGCACAGGGACGGAGGGAGGGCTGCGGTGGGAGAGTCCCCAGCTCTGGGTTTCAGTTCCCAACGCACCTCATGGAACCTGAGCGGCCAAACCGGGCCAGTGCTGGGAGAAGGAGGAGGGTGAAAAGGCAAACGCTGCCTCTCAGGGTTGGAATTCCTGTTCCTAACGGGACAGGGCAGGATGCTCACACTCCTCTCCCACAGAATACTCTCAGGAAAAACTATTATAACACAATGTTTAAATAAGCATTTAATTAGGATTCCATTAGTATTAATATTGCTTTCAATTCCAAAAAGGTTAATTTCCACTTCTTTGCAGATATTTCAAAGTACAATATTAACTTCATACAAAATGAGCAATTAAGCAAACACCATTATTTCACATTCTTCAAAAAATACAAATTCATATTTACTCTTTTGGGTTTTGGAGATGCTCTTCCTTTGGAAGTACTGTACCTGTAACTAACATCTTCACATTGCTCAATGTAAGCACATTTGTTCCCCTGTTTCAGAGTTAAATAAATTCCTTTATTACCACACACACATTCTTGAGAAACTGGGGTTGAGTTCAGCTGTCTCCAAAGCCCCAGGCAGTGCAGCCCCCCAGCCCCAGGAGCTCAGCTGGAGCTGGAGCTGCCCCCGGTGTGGAGCCAGGCTGGGGTTTGGGCTGGGTGAGGCAAAACAGAGCAGGGTCAGCCCGAGCAGCGGGAGGACAAGAGAGTCACAAACCAGGAACACCAGCAACTGCAACTACAGCACTGCAAACACACCCTCGAGTCTGCTGGAAAAGGTCATGTGAAAAAAATCTTTCTTTAAGAAAAAGTAGAAACTGCATTTATTTGAGAAAGTGTACACTGCATAATGAACCAAATTTTGGCCAGCTTGCACACCACTGCAGCATGGTGTGGGGTTTTACCTAGCTCCAAAAACACACACTTAGACTATGTACACTACTACATAAATATCCAGTTTAATTTGCATTTCTCAGTGCAGACACAGAATCCAACTTCTAGAACATGTGATAGATATCAAGACAAGACACAAAAAAGTTAAAAGTTCAGCCCTGTCCATGAGAATTGACTACAGGTAACATTTATAAAAACTTGACATTGCTTCCAAAATATGTTACGGAAAAAATAGTATACAATTAAAAACTCTGCAGTCAGAAATTCATAGGGTTTATTAAAGACATGCTCTTCTTTTTTTGCCTTACAGTCCAAACTAACTCCAACAGTTCTGCCCAGCTAGCTCAGGTAACTCCTGCCAAGAAGTTTTCACCCACAGATCTCAAATCACTTCATGGAGACAACACCCTGGCCCGGTTCCGTGGGGAGGATCCGAGGCAGCCCGAGGTTCTGAGCCCTGCCCGGTGTCCCCCAGCCAGCAGTGGAAGGGATTTTGTGACACCAGAGCTCCTGCTCTGCCCCACTGACTGCTGCCTCACCTCAGAAGAAGCCAGCAGCAGCTGCTCATCTCCAGCCACCCCAAGGACAGCTACCCTGGGCTCATCTCCATGCCAAGAAGCCAGTTTATCTCGGAGCAGGAGTGCTGTAAACACAGCGCCGCTGCAGATCGAGGACAATGTCGTGGATGGCTACAGCCATGCCACCCCCCAAGAAATAAGGCAGTAACAGGACATCAGAAACCATCTTGAAGACAAATTTGAAAGGTGCAACATGCCTGTTTGAAAGCAGCTTGTCACTTGTGTTCCCACGTGGGTGACAGAACGAGGACAGGGGAAGAAGGACACACATCAAGGGACACGGCATGTCCAACAGGAGTGACAAGCAGCCCCCAGAAAGCGTGAGAGAAAAGGCTGCTGAAGCACAGTGCTCTCAGAGGGTTATTTGCATAGATTGGACGTTTGCTAACGATGCATAATTTGTCTGGGGCACGGGGAAGGGCAGCACAGCACCCACCACACCTGTTCTGTCAGACAGACACACACGGACCACGCGGCACAAGGATCTTTAGCTACAGGTATTGCACCAAGTTAAGTGCTCATCTTTGCACACCCCTGTTAACTTTTACTCAGAGCAAAAATAAACTTTGTGAAAGTATATACAAAAGAAATTGCAGCAATTGGGTTAAAGATAAAATAACCTAAAGTGCATTTTAGATACCAGTATGAGGTTCTGCGAACTTGTCTTCCTGGGGACACTCAGCATTACACAGGTGTCCAACTCGTACTTTGTTCCATGTAATTCAGTACCAGCATTCAATCAGTGCTGATTTCCACCCCACCCCCCCACCCCCCACCTACAAAAAGCACAAAAAGCAATTTCTCCAACCTTCAGCTGCATGCTGCAAGTCTGCTGGCTTGGGTCCTTGCTTGGTGACCAAAGCTACCAAAGTCAGTAACTTGACCCTCTCTACACATTTGAGCTTCTACACCCATCTAGAAACTATGAGTGACCAAGTAAACCCCCACCAGCACAAAACAGGTGACCTAGAGCAGTGCACTTTTGCTCTCTGACTGATAATTAAAGGGGTTCATGCAGACTTTGTAGAGGCAGGCACACTGGTCCCAGAGGCTCCAGCACATTAACCCTTTTCTGGGAATCCAGGGCAGAAACTCTCCTTTTCATTAACCATGTAATAGTGAATATGCTAAATGCTGGGGCAGCAAGGAGAGGACAGGAAAAATCTCTGGCCTTGCAGAATCTCAGAGCTTTGCTGCAGCTGCCCTTGGATCTCCTCCCATCCCAGCATGGCCCTGGAGCAGTCTGATCACACAGTACTGGGGATGATGCAAATGTGAAAACATCTCAGACACACAGCACAAACACTCTGCAAAGCAGACGGACAATAAACAACAAAAGCACACACCTGTAAAACACAGTGGAGGCACAGCCCGTGTGCTCACAGAATCACATGCTCCTGCCTCAGTACAAGCTCTAACCAGTTCCACCTGAATTGCAGCCTGCCTGATGCATGTATAACAGGGAAACAGCAAACCCAATGCACCAAAGAATCAGCAGGACATACTTCTTTTCCTGGAACACAACAACAACAACAAAAAAAACCAGTAGCTGTGAAGAGAAACAGCAGAGATTGACCCTGGGCACTGGTGCCCATCACTGCAGATTCACATTGAGCTTCCCACTTCAGAGACTTTGGTAGTTTCTTCTACTCATTTCAGTCACAAAATAGTTTCTGAAGATGCTCTCTGGTCCAACCAGGAGCGTGTTTTAGGCTGACTAAGTCATAAGTAGCAAAAGTAAAAAAGCCTCCCTGAAGGCTGTGAAGGCTCAGAAGCAGTTGCTAAATTGCCCAGCTGTCACAGTGCAGGCCACATCTGGGACCCTTGTCCCCCATCAGAGGTAACCCCCACAACTCCTGGGGAATCTTCAGACTCCTGCATCAGCAGTCTCCCACAGGCACACATCCACAGCCACTCACCCTCCAACAGCACAGCTGCACTTGGCCAAAGAAAATGCCCAAGGCCACAGTGAGAGGCACCAGAGGGACCCCCAGGCAGCACTCACTCCCCTCCCAGGTGGAGCTCTAGGCAGGGGACTCCTCTTGAGGACAGTCCCAACCATGCAGGCTTGGGACTGTTTTTTGTGTTCAAAGCAGCTCTTGCTGCCATGCAACTCAACTGCAGCACAAAATGAAGCTGCAGGAGAAAAGCAAAGGAGCCACCACCTCGCTGCCCTCCGCGGATTGCCGTGACAGGAACAAAACAAGAAATGCTTTGTTAACCTGTTTGGGGATGTCAAACCTCATTGCTGCAGGACTCGCAGCCCTGCTACAACAACCCTGCCACACACCCAGAGGAAACACCACCAGCTGTGTGATGCCCTCGAGTTCATCCCTGCAGCTGCCAGCACCGAGCTCTCTGCCCTGGCACAGACACACAGCGTGTCCCAGGCACCGAGTGCTCCTGGCACACCTCTCTGCCCTCGTGAGACACGGCTCTTTCCCTTCTGCCCTTCACCAGAAGCTGTGCAGGAGGGCAAGGCCAGCTCCCTTCAGTCCCTTTCCAGCCATGCCTGGGCAGTGCTTTCTCAGGGGAACAGCACGAGAGGTGGCTGAAGCCAGTCTCAGCGCTGGTCAGGCTACACTGAGCACGTCACAGGAGGATTAAACACCTGCTGATCAGCAGGCAGCACTCACAGGTTCTCCCCTCCCCGGAGGTACAGAGAGCAGCTCTGATCAAACACAAAGAGTGAAAGATCTCTATCCACTACAGTTTGTATTCCTAAATTGAGTGCAGGGACACTCCCCACTAATAGGCTTACAGTCATTATCTTTGTATCTCACTAATGACAACACTGTAAACTGAATAAAGACTATTTAATATTCTTTCCTTTAACACAAGAAAACTGACAGCCAAAGCCAGAAAGATGGATAAAAACTATAAAATTACATATTTTAAAATAATGCAGCATAAATAAACCATTTAGAATGAGACTGCATTTATTGCAACATTACAGGCTTTTTGGTGGAAGGGGGGGTTTGGATTTGATTTACCCTGAGTAGGTTAGAATATAGACTCTCAGTTTGATATGAAAAACTATTCTGTTGCGTAACATCTTTTAGTCAAGAAATAGCCCCGTGCACAAAAAGCTGGCATTGCAGTAGGCTGGAGGCAGAGTCAGGCAGAAATTATATAGCTCACTGGAAAAAAAAGAAGCATGTATGGACAACTGAAGGACAGACTCACTGAATTCCAACTGAATTTATGTTGAATCTTTCTCAAAATTTTCTTAAGGGTTGTTCTTCACAAAAGATGAGAGTAACCAGCAAAGGCACCGTGCTCCTGATTCAACAGTCCCAGGGTTAGGATGATGACTTGTTGCTGAACAGAGCCTAAGAAATCAAAAGAGCAGCAGGCACCAACCTGACCACACCTGGCACTCACTGCACCCTTCGGAGAGGCCAAGAAAACAGACACTGGAGCCAGAGCCAGCAGGGCTCCGACTGTGCTTCCATCTTGTGACACAGTGTCTGCAACACACTCGAGTCCTAGTGGAATTAAAATTAACAGATCTATTCTGAAATAAACTCCCCCAAAGCTCCTGGAGGCTTTAGTAGCATCTGTACACAGCAAAACCAGGCACCAGCTCCTCATCAGGTATGGACAATCGCATTCAAATCACACTGCAGATAAATGCTCTCCCCCAGCTATGCCATTTCCTCCCCCACAGCCTCCTTTCCTGGGCTCCCCTTTAGTGCATGGTTAGTAGAGACGTGAGAGGCAGAAGATTAGAGACCCAAGAAGTTGTAACAAAGACCCACTTGCTGCCAGTACCTTAATCCCAAACATAAGTGATGTGCAATTGGAGACAAAGTAACCCCCCCTTTTCCTTTTAAAAATCTTTTTGCACACGAGTAACCTTAACTTCTGTGTTCACATATGACAAGCAAAAGTGACAGACAGTGCAGCCAAAACAGTTCATATATAACTTAGCTATTTCTTTTTTTTTTTTACCTTTTCTTTTTTTAGATAGAATCTGAAAGGTGGATGTACCTGGGACGTGACTAAGATGACATCCGTGAAGCAGAAATAAGCCACAAAACTTCCAAAGAGGAAGGAATAAGAATCGATCCTTCAGTTTCTGCTTCTAAGGAGAAGGGTTTTACCCTCCAGGTGCAAAGGAAAATCTGGAACATCTTCACTTAGAGAAGCTGCTATTCAAACCAATTTCTTCCTCACCCTGCAGTAGTGCTTCAATTGGAATTATATTAGACGGGGTTTCAGGGCTTTGGAGGGACAGGAAGTCCGATACATCCATGGCACTTAATGTTTCAGTCTGGGAGTCTGAAGGGGTAACTATCTGACTGCTCTGCCCACAAGAAGGAGGAGCAGAGGAGGAAGGAAAGGTCTGAGGCTGCAGCTGGGAAGCTGGCTGCTCCAAAGCTTTTGAATCAGGTGAGGAACATTCCTTCTTCACGGTGGAGGTGGCTTTGTCCTTGGCAGAGTCTCGGCAGGCACACTGGCACTGGCAGGCCTCCTCCTGCTTTATAATGATAACAGGAACGCTGAGACCAATCTGCTGAACAGGGTTTCCTGAAGGTGAAACAAAGACAAAACACAATGGAACTACATAATTTCACAGCAGGGAGAGAGAAATCAGCTTTGTTCAATCAATTAGTTCAGTGTCACACTTACCTGTGTTACCAGCTACTGGTAATGCAGTGGTAAAAAACACCTTTTCTACTACTTTTGGAACTTGTGGCTTTAAAGAAAAAAAACAAACAAGAAAAAATGTGAATTGACTCAAATTAAATTTCTGCTCTTCAAACTCTAAACAGCTATATACATATTCCAAAGAGATAAACATGAAAACTGGGCTCAAAAGTATTGTTTCAGTGGTCCTAAAGATTTGGTATAACATCCCCTGCATTATTTGCTGGTGAACTCAGCTTGTGGGTTTTGACAACTCAATGACTGAATTCTTAACCACTGCTCTGTGTGCTCCCACTGCCTGTACCTGCAGCCACTCACTCGTGTCCACCTACAGCTGAGAGCCTAAAGTGGCACCAATATCATCAAAGAGAAAACTCCTTAAGTTTCAGCTATCCAGATTTACTGGAAAACCACAAACATTCTCTTTCTAGAAAATCTCTTTTCATTACCAGTCAAAATTAGGCAGAGACAGCGATTACAAAATGTCTAAACACAATCTTTACAGAGTGTTTTGTGCTTCTATGCATCAAAAGCAATACATTAAGGCCCATGTATATCCTCAGGCATGGTGGTGCCCTGTCCTGAATAAACACACTGACACCTGCTGGCAGAAGTCCCCACGAGGAGAAAGAAGAAAGCAAGATCTTCCTGCACCCTGGGTTTCTCTGTGATCTAATTATTTCCCTGTCTGTTCCAGGGCCTGCATTGGTGACATGTATACAAATTAACATGACAAACATTATACCACACTGCATGCTGGGGTTTATCTTACAGGTTTCACCCCCTCCCTTTTCAAAAGCAAGAGCTCCAAAGCCCTGCTGAATGTACTGACCATTTGTTCTTGGCTTTGTGGGGAACCAGTGGCACCATTTAAGATCCATTGTAAGTTCTGCTCTCCCATGACAATGCTGGGCTGCAGAATGGCGGTGCTTGGAGAAGGAGTAATGGTTATAGTGGGGTTACTGGTCAAAACAGGGTTTGCACCAACAGGCACAGTCTGAACTACAGCTGGCAGGGGCTCGGTGGCACTCGGGGCTGTCGGGGCAGGAGCCCCAGCAACCACTGACAGTCCCTGAACAATGGGCTGCGGCGGAGGCTGGCTGTGCTGCAGGAAGTCTTGGTGACTGGCTGCAAACGGTGTGCTGTGAGGAACAGGCACTTCTGGGGATTGTAAAACAGTTGCAGGATTCCCAAACGCAGCTGGCTGTGAGCTGGGCGCTATGGAGGAGGGAGCAGCGGGCGCTGCCGAGGCTTGCAGCGCTGCCTGTGCCGGCTCAGGGAGGCCGAGCTGCAGGACCAGGGGGAGGGACAACGAGGCGTCTCCTGCCGGGGGCGGGACCGCAGCCACCGAGTCTGCGTCGCCGTTAAATCCTTCCATCAAGGAAGCTGCTGAAAGAGAAACAGAAAAAATATAAATAGATCCGTTCTCATGAGGTCTGAATGAACTGCTTTTTCAATGAACTTATCAGCTAGCTGATGGGTTTTTGCCAAGTAAAGCATTACCACGTTCCTAACTTCAGAGTAGTGCTTAAAAACAACCCTAGCAGTGAAATCTAGAAGTAGCTGTAAATTCAAGCTGGTAACACCAGGCACTACACTGAGCCTGATCAGGCTCATCAGCTCTCTCTAATAAGCCTTTTATCAGGCAGGTTGTGCAGCAACTTCAAGAAAACAGGATGATGCTTGAGAGCTCCAGTGCCAGTACTGCAGGACAGTGTGCTGGGCCACCTCCCCTGTCACTGAGTGTCCACAGTCTGTGCACACCATGCATCCCAACACCAATGAATTTCAACCCTGAAGTTAAAGTTCTTTTTGCTTCTTAGAGTTATGTTGGGCATTAAGCTTCAGTCTGAAATGCTGAATTCAGTACATGCATGCAGAGCTGTCAAAAAGTTCTTTTTAACAGCAGAGCAGATACAACTGGTACCTGTCTGCTGAGACTCATCCTGATTTGCAGTGTGGTCTGGGCTCTGAAACATAGACTCAAAGATGCTTGCTGGTGAGATTGTGCTGAGGTCCTGTCCATGTGTCTGACAAACAGAAAACAAAGAGGAAGACATCAGACAATGTTGTATCTCAGGGCTCCACAAACCCCAGTCAAGCAGTGCCAGAAAGCATGTCAGAAACACTCCCCCAAAGAACCAGCCACCCTCAGGAATGGCAACACCTACTACTTACAGCATGTAAATTTACACCTTTACCAACATAATGAGCAACCCCTACAAAAATAAGTAACTTCTTCAAAAGTAAAATATATTCCTCTGCATGCACTCTTTATTTAACCCTTATTTCTTGCAGTACTCCATCATAAACAGAAATTAATTGGCTGCTTCCAGAACCTTTCTGGAGCAGAAAAAAATAGCTCCATTTTATATCCTGGACTGTGCAATTCTAGTCATCCACAGGAGCAGAATACACTCAGGAGCTGCACTCTGCTCCCACACCACAGCACAAAGAACAACACTGTCTCCTCAGCATCTCATTTTCCTCTGTGTGAAATCCAAGCTCAGTCAAGACTTATCAAGGAGCACTGTTATGGCAAAGTCAGATGCAGAGCTTTCTACAGCAGGTTGAACTAAGCACTGCACGTTTTGGAGGACAGAATCAAAACTCCAATGAGGATGAGGCAATTCCAGGACAATAACTCACTGGGTTAGAGTTCTCCCGCAATTCTGAATCTGTTGATATGAGGCTTAAATCACTCAGACAAAGTGAATGACTTGTATCCTGTGAAAAAGAAAAACAATCTGAATTATATATTAAAAGAATAATTTCAGAAATGTTTTAAATTAATTTTCAGAGTCCATGCTTTGCTTATATGGGACCCAGGTCTCAGTTCTAAAATCAAAGGATCGAGATTTTTAAGCAAAGGATATTTAGCAGCTATCAAGGATGCTTAATATCTCTGTCAAAGTACTTCCAAAAAGCCATATAACCCAGAATTTTAAATTAGCATAGGAATGAATCAACTTTTAGAAAATAAAAAAAAATTAAACCTTCCCAGTTAGTATTTTTAGTTAGTATCTATTTTACTTCACAGCATTGATTCCAACCAAAGCACACACAAGGAAAGCAGCCTGATGGATACAACTGCCCACGTGCACATGTGGCAAAGTGAGCACTTGGAAAACTCCTGTCTTAAATGTTACACCTTAAGAACAAGCTGCAGACCAAATGATTTCTTCCCCAAAGTATGATTTATATCCACCTAACACAGAAACATTAAGCAGAAGTGCTACTAACCTCAGACACGTTGTTATTGGGAAGTGCATTATAGGTATGTCCCTTCTCATGACCTTTCATGTGACTCTTGAGACTGTACTGGGTGCTGAAAGTCTTCTCACAACCATTGCTGGGACAGAAGAAGGGTTTCTCCCCTAGAGGCAGCAGAGAACACATTTAACAGACTTCAAAACATCTTATCAGACACACACTTTTAAAGCACCTTGCAGAGCAGTATTTCATACAAGCAAGACATTTTCTGCCCCTTCACACGTTAGTATTCCTGGGAGTCCTGCAGGTGAGTGCTTCCATCTCACCATGGGAACTGACACACAGCACAATATTTAATTGTTATGCATCATTACTGGTACATTTATGAAAACATGTTCATTGAATTCAAAACCTGTCAAGCATAAACATAACTGCATAAATGGAAAATTTGGATTGGCCTGGTGCACGTGCAGGAGTTTGCACTTGGCCTTTGTAAACTCATGAAGTTCACATGAGCACACTCCTCCAGCCTGCAAAGGTCTCTCTGGATGCCATCCCCTCCCTCACACATTACCTGAGCCACTCAGCTTGGTGTCACTCCCATATTATGTGTAACTATATATTCCTATTAGGATTCTGAGAGTTATAAGCTCAATTTATAAGCTTTATAAGCTCAATTAAAGAAAATTTTTTAAAAACCCCATAGAACTTACCAGTGTGTGTTCTAACATGTGTTTTGAGGTGGTGGCTTGCAGCAAAAGCCTTCCCACAGCCATCATGCTCACACCTGAATGAGGCATCACAGGACAGTCAGCATCAGCCCCCTTCAATGCATTAGCTACAACCTTAAATCATGCTTTGCAATAGTCCCAGGACTCTAAAAAGCAGGCCCAAAGCTAAGCTCTGTTAGCTAACAGCAGCTGCTGTGCATGCTACACACATCATAGCAGGGCTCTGAGCAGGACTTTAAAATCCAAGCAGTATTTGGGGTGTCTCCTCCATGGAATACACATTGCATCCCAGAAGAGAGCAGCAATGTGTTTTAAAAGATGCTCACCACGGCATAGGTTTATGTTTAAAAAACTACCTTAACTATTCTTGCCTTTTAGAACAATCACTGCACCCACTGTGAAAGGAAACCAGGGGAGCTCGAGAACAAACAGGCTCCAAAGCCAGCCAGCCACCTTCACTTATTTCTCAGGAGAACACCATTCCATTCAGAACAGTAACAGCTGCTTTTTGGCACAGGTGCCTCATTAGCTGAGCCACAGGAGCCAGCACAGCACCCAGCAACTCACCGAAATGGCTTTTCTCCTGTGTGTGTTCGGATGTGCTTCCTCAGGTCACTGTGCGTTGTGAAGTATTTGCTGCAGCCTTCTGATTCACAGTTAAATGTTTTCCCTGTGTGAAGCCTTTGATGTGCTTTCAACCTAAAAAACACGTCAAAAAAATCCCTCTTAGGACTGGTAGGATAAGACAGACCTGGCCTGAGGCAAGCAAGCCTTTCTTTGAAATGTGCAGGAGGGGATCAAAGGCTGAACATATCCTGAGCAGAAGTAATGAGCTCATGGAAGTGACTGCTATCAGTTCCAAAGTCCTCCAACAAGGCTGAGAGACCCTTGTGTTTATCCACCACCTTCAATGCTGCTGGAATACAAAGAAGTGACCACAGTCCTGTCATCCTACCCTTTGGAGAGCATTGCCACACTTGAGGGGTTTATATCTGTACCTGTACATGGAAGGAAACAATTGTATTCAAACACAAACACAAAGTAGATGCAACCTGCAGAACAGCAACAGCCACACCTACAAGAAAATTCACCAGAGCCTTCCCTCCTGGAGTGCTGAACACCAGCTCACCTGTACAGTGTGTTGAACACCCTCTCACCTGTACAGTGCTGAACACCCCCTCACCTGCACAGTGTGTTGAACACCCTCTCACCTGTACAGTGCTGAACACCCCCTCACCTGTACTGTTGAACACCCCCTCACCTGCACAGTGTGTTGAACACCCTCTCACCTGTACAGTGTGTTGAACAGCAGCTCACCTGTACAGTGCTGAACACCCTCTCACCTGTACAGTGCTGAACACCCCCTCACCTGCACAGTGTGTTGAACACCCTCTCACCTGTACAGTGCTGAACACCCCCTCACCTGTACTGTTGAACACCCCCTCACCTGCACAGTGTGTTGAACACCCTCTCACCTGTACAGTGTGTTGAACAGCAGCTCACCTGTACAGTGCTGAACACACTCTCACCTGCACAGTGTGTTGAACACCCCCTCACCTGTAGAGTGTGTTGAACACCCCCTCACCTGTACTGTTGAACACCTGAACACCCCCTCACCTGTAGAGTGTGTTGAACGCCTTCTCACAGCCCTGCACGTCGCACTCGAAGGGTTTCTCCTTGGTGTGCACCCGGACGTGGATTTTGAGGCTGTAGGAGGTGAGGAAGGCCTTGCCACAGCCCTCCTGGTTGCACACGAAGGTGTACTCCCCCCGGTGCGTTTTCTGGTGCGTGCGCAGGTTGCCAGCGGTGCTGTAGGTGCGGGGACAGCCCTCAAAGGTGCACTGGTAGCGCTTCACCTGAAGGACAAAATGCTGCAGGCTTAATAATTTTTAATAATTTCTGCAATCCAGATATGCATGTAGTCCTTTGATGGGGTCAGACAAGAGATTTTGACACCAAAGCGCTCCCAGAAAATTTACTGCTGCTTAATTCTCTGATAAGAACACTTCTGCTGTGCTCTGAGAGGAAGGGAAGGAGTGGCACGTGGGAAAGCAGCTGGGCTTGCAGAACAGGAATCCAACAGAAGGGAAAAAAGAAAAAACCTAATCCAAAATATTTCTAGCCAAAAATCTGATAGAACAGCTGGAAAGAACACTGAGGAGCCATCAAACCTGTCCACTACCCACATGTGCAGCACCTGCATTTTAGTCCGGTGCTTCCTGCAGAACTACTTATTTGTGGAGCAGGGAGACAAAGGAAAATGCACTGCCACAGTGCTCAAACCCACTGCCCTGTGTGCTGAATTCCCATCAACAACAGCTTGGTGTTCAAAACAGTTTTTACCATCTCCCATGGTCTGACCACCAGTCCATTCACTACTTCACTCTATCCCAAACAGCCTTCACTGAGCCTTGCTCTTCCCTTCTGTGCTACTGAAACAGTCAGTGCCTGAAGAGTAATGGATCACATCAGGTCACAAGGACACCCAAATACAGCTGTCACAGATTTCTCAGTAAGCCACTGAGATCTCTAGGACAACTTCTCATGGAACTGGATTTGGTACAGGCACAAGGGATCATTTAGAAGCATGTGTAAGTGGTAACACCTCATGAAATACTGTCTTCTCTTGTGAAGCAGAAGGAATACACCCTGATCTGCCTGAATAAAGTTATCCTCCACCATTAATTACCAGACTGATGGCTTTCATTTGACTGTTAAAGTTCAGAAACCTCAACACCTCATAGTGATTGAGGAGCCCAAGAGAGGACTTGGCAAGTCACACCAGCTATAAATCAAGTTCTAGGCAGTTCTCCATAACAAAACAGAAATAGCTTCTTGGTTACTTCCAACCTGTTTTGTAGGGGACAAAACTGCCAGCAGGACTCCTTTAGGAAAATTCTACAAAGCTGAGTGATCTTTTGTGTATCCCAGTGCATGGTCTTGTTGCTCCCACAACAGGCTGGCATTCACCTTCACCTTGCCTCAGTAAAACCTTCCTATTTGGAGAACACTAAACCCTCCTGTGAGACACACAAGAGACACACAGGGCACAGAAATACCATCATGTGCTGGGTTTGGCTGGGATAGAGTTCGTTTTCTTCACTTGTATAGAGCAGGTTCTGGATTTGTGCTCAACACAGGGCTGATGATACAGAGATGGATTTTTTTTTTTTAGTGCTTCTCATTCTGCCCTGCCAGCAAGGGGCTGGGGGTACACAGGGAGTGGGGAGGGGACACAGCCAGGACAGCTGGCCCTGACTGACCCAGGGATACCCCAGACCATGTGATGTCATGCTCAGTATAGAAAGCTGGGCAAGGAGGAGGGAGGGGAAACATTTTGTGGTCCCCAGTCTCTGCTAGGCGCGCTGGAGCCCGGCTTTCCTGGGCATGGCTGAGCTCCTGCCTGCCAGGGAAGGAAGGAATGCCCCCCTTCACATTTTCAACTGGTCACTCAGCATTCTCAGAGAAGGAAACAGTAATTTCACTCTAAGCAATGTGCCCTTAATTTACAGCTCAAATCAGGCAGAAATCCTAAATGCCCAAGAACTGCAGCATGGTTACAATGCAGTTAGGAAGTCTGGCTGTGCTGAGGCTGCCACAACACGGGAGCACAGAGCAGTACCACACCAGCAGCAGAAAGCACATTTTATTACATGAGGAGGGTACATCATCCTCCCCCAGGATCACCAGATCCAGTACAATTTGTGTATCAGTGCTGAAGTAAATGTTCCTTGTTACAGCTTTAAGGCAGCTGGAAATTAACATTTTACACAACATTTCCCGTGGTACACAAGGGATCTGACACAGGCAGGAACTACCTGAAAATCAAGGGAGGGTTCTGTTAAGCTTTTTGGTATTTACATTTAGGTCTAGAAGAAAAAGGACAGTATTAATTACAGATGAAGCTGTTTGGTTCCCAGCTGTCACCACCCATGTGTAAGGGAAGGTGGCAGTATCAGTTTAATGGCCTTGCAGTGCTCCCCCTCCCTCAAAGGCCAAATCTTTATTTCACAAATCCTTCCAAGCACACCACAGGCAGCAGCAATATCACCACCACGTTCTGAGCAAAACCAACCTTTCTGTGAAGCACCACAGCATTTAATTCTCCTTTCACATCAGCACACTGCACACTGTTCACACACACAAAACCATCAGAGATTGATTTGAAAGCCTCACAGAGACAGCAGCAAGAGCTCCAGGCTGCCACAGCACCAGGGCACAACAGAAAACAAACAAGGCAGCAGAGGCCAAGCCCTGGGCAGGCAGGACAGGGCCCAGGGACTCTGAGGCCAAAGGCTGTGGCTTCTGGCCAGGGACAGTGAGGTGCTGCTGGAAGAGACATGATCCAGCATTTACCTCAGAAAACTCGTTGTGCAATAGCCAACAGGGCTGGAGAAAGCAGAGCCTCACACCCTGGTTCAAAGTCTACAGTAACTGCTCTGTTTGCCTTTAACTCTTCCTGAGCTTACCACGTTCCCCCTAAATGGCCACATTTTCTGTGTCACTGCTGAACAAATAACTGGATTTGAAATAAGAAACTGTAATCATGTTTGTTCTTACCCAAACAATTACAGTGAGATGTGCAACAAAATAATAAAAAGCCAAAGGTACTAAAGTGCAAAATCCCTTTTTAGCTTCATACATGTCTAAGGCTGACCTGAAAACCTAAGACTTTAAAACAATTATCCCAAGTGTTAAAACTGTTGCAGATATTTTACAAGTACCAAAGAACAGAGCTGTTGATTTTCAGAGATGACTCAGATGTTTGGGACCTTTAGAGCTCTCCTTTCCTCACCTCCAGACAACTTATCAGACCTTTGAAAGAGCAGCCCAAAAGGCCTTTCACACGTGCTCAGGGCCACTGCTTTCATATTATGGAATCACTGCCCTCTGTTCTGGGAAATTAATTCCAGAAATTGAAAATAAATTCATATAAAGCATTTCACTAGGAAATTCCACACCTAACAAGCCTTTTCTAAAAGGCAAAGGTGAAAAAATGCAGTCAGTTTAATTGCACATGCAGCCATTGACCCTGTTTAGCTCCCACCCCTGCTCTGGGAGCAGCTCAGGGTCCCACAAAGAGGAAAAGTGAAACACTTCAGCAGCTGCCAAGGTGAGTAACTGAGCAGGAGGCTCAAACAGGCTCACTGAACACACCTCAGTGCAGCAGCTCCCCAGCTGCAGAGTTGACCCCCCAGCCCCATTTCCCAGCTCTCAGCCCAATGGTGACAGCTCTGTGTTCAGTGTCACAGTCTGTGCCACTGGCACTGCCCCTGGACTCATCACCCCTCACAAAGAAGGGGCACCAAGCCATCCCTGAGCTGTGCCACAGCCAACTTCCCTTTGCTCTTGCAGCCAAAAAGAAGAGTTCCAGGACAAGTCCTCCCCACTGTGCACCCAGACAGAATTCATTAGGGAAACAGAATTAAGAGCAAACTCCATTTTAACCATGCAGCCTGGCCTGAGCTTTCAAAACACATCAGATGGCAGCTTAAAGCTCCCATCTTCTCACAGTCGCCCTGGGGCACAACAAAACTACAAATAATTTCAAATTTGGCATCTCACATTTGGTACTCCAGCTCCCAGCAATGGCCTGGCCCTTAACTGTGACCTGAATGTGCTTTTCTTGAGAATGAAAAGTCCCAGAGTAAGAGCTCAGGCTGTTTCAGCTGCCTCTCACCTCACAAAACAATGACCTGAGCAGAAGAAAACCTGAAGATCACTAAAGTGACACAAAGGTGTGCCAGTGCCACACCCTCCTGCCATCCAGTGTCACCAAGTGCCTTCTGGAAGGTTCCTAGGGCAGCAGGTGGTGTCAGAGAGAAGAGAGATGGCCCTGGCAGCTCTGCTGGGACACGGTTCTCCCCAGCACACTGCGAAGCTGGGGATGACAACCAGAGCAGATTCACACAAAATCCCTCAAAAACGAGCAAAACTGCTGCCCCTCTCCTGAAAAACAAAACAGCAAAACTGCTGCCCCTCTCCTCTTGCAGCCAAAAAGAAGAGTTCCAGGACAAGTCCTCCCCACTGTGCACCCAGACAGAATTCATTAGGGAAACAGAATTAAGAGCAAACTCCATTTTAACCATGCAGCCTGGCCTGAGCTTTCAAAACACATCAGATGGCAGCTTAAAGCTCCCATCTTCTCACAGTCGCCCTGGGGCACAACAAAACTACAAATAATTTCAAATTTGGCATCTCACATTTGGTACTCCAGCTCCCAGCAATGGCCTGGCCCTTAACTGTGACCTGAATGTGCTTTTCTTGAGAATGAAAAGTCCCAGAGTAAGAGCTCAGGCTGTTTCAGCTGCCTCTCACCTCACAAAACAATGACCTGAGCAGAAGAAAACCTGAAGATCACTAAAATGACACAAAGGTGTGCCAGTGCCACACCCTCCTGCCATCCAGTGTCACCAAGTGCCTTCTGGAAGGTTCCTAGGGCAGCAGGTGGTGTCAGAGAGAAGAGAGATGGCCCTGGCAGCTCTGCTGGGACACGGTTCTCCCCAGCACACTGCGAAGCTGGGGATGACAACCAGAGCAGATTTACACAAAATCCCTGAAAAACAGCAAAACTGATGCCCCTCTCCTGAAAAACAGCAAAACTGCTGCCCCTCTCTTGAAAACAGCAAAACAGCAAAACTGCTGCCCCTCTCCTGAAAAACAAAACAGCAAAACTGCTGCCCCTCTCCTGAAAACAGCAAAACAGCAAAACTGCTGCCCCTCTCTTGAAGAAACAGCCCAGTTTCAAAGCCTTTAAGGTGCAGAAAGCCCAGAATCTCAGGTGGCTACTCACCTCCTTACGCTTGGTCTCTGGGCACTCAGACTGCAGAGTGAGAGTTGCTCCTTCGATGTTCCTTGGCATGGGAGTTGAACCAGGATTTATTGTTAGGTGAATCTGATCTGGAGAAATAATGTGTTGCACGTAACCCTGTGACATCCCTTCATGATCTGCTATTAAATGAAATCCTTCTTCGTGACCCTCGGGTAAAAAAGGCAAGTGGTCACCACACTGTCCTTCATCCTCCTCATCCTCCAGCACGCTGTGGTCCTGCTCGATGAGCACAGTTGTCCTGTCATACACCGTCCCGGACGAGGAGGACACCAGCCCGTTTTTGTCAGCAAACCTCATCATATTTTCATCTTGGGCTAAGTCGTCTTCCTCCGCTTCATAGTAGATGGCGTCGCCCTCGGGACTGTTCTCGCCCATGGCTCCGCGCCTCTCACCGCGCTACCGGCAGCTCCGGCCGGAACGGCTCATCTGCAACACAACGATGGGCGAGGCGGGGGTCAGGCGGCTCGGCCGGCCCGGGCCCCGTTTCTCCGGCGGGCACAGCCCCAGCGCGGCCGGTGGCGGCCGGGAGCGCCGCGCCCGCCGCGGGGGCTGACGGGAGGGCGGGCGGAGCGCAGCGCCTCCTGCCGGCCGCGCGCGCCCTCACGGCCCTCAGCGACACCGGGCAAAGGCCGCGCGAAAAGATCTTTTTATTTAAATAGCAGGGACTTAAAAACTCTCGTGGTTTTAACAAGTTAAATAAAATACAGTGTAAATATCAGCTCTCTCGGTATTTTTTAACTCGTCTACATACAGCTTATTGGGAAACTTTGATGTACTTTACAGCATAATCAGGGGTCAAACTGCCTGATCTCTGCTTTCAAAAGCCACAGATTGTATAAAATACCGTGATATCAAAAAAAAAGGTGCCAGTATAATGTACAAAAAAAATATTTTTTACAGTAATTCAATGTCTACAAGTCAGATATAACCGCATCTGATATTCATGGAAAATCATCTTCTCTCACGAGGAACTGGTGGATAAAGTGCTGAGCTTTCCTCTTCTCGGCGATGTCGGGCGTGGGGTGGCCAGGAGGAGGCCGCAGCAGCAAACCACCAAACACGCTGGCTGTGGGAAAGACACACGGACACACAGTGAGGGCAGGACACGGAGGGAGCTGGGGAGACAGCCCACATTTGGAGTGAGGCAGGATAAAGCTGATAATCCCCACATCTCGGGGCTCCTTCCCCACGCTCCTGCGTTTCTGTGGACTGTTCGCTTATAATAAAAGGTTCAAAGCACTACAAGCCATCGCTGCACTCCGGTATGAAGTGTTTTGTGCAGCCCCTCTGGACAGAGGGTTATTTTGCAGGCCTTACCAAGAATATTCACATCCAAATGGTTTTTCCCTGAGTTCTTCAGTAGCTCTCGTAGAAACGCCATCAGATATTCAAACACATTTTTATGGAACACTGGTAGGTCAGAGATAATCTGAAGAGGGAAAAACACCAGCATTTATATTGCAGACACAGCAATGCCTTCCAGCTGCACCTGCCCCCAAAACCCCCCTGTCTGCAGGTGCCAACAGCTCTTTATAACCTGAAATCACCAGTTCCAGATCATTTCTATTAACAGAGGATTAAGTTACTGAGAGCAAAACCGGGTAATTGGTGTAGCAGAGGCCAGTTTCCTGCCCTCCTTCAGGGACTGGTGTCACCACAGGCCAGTTTCCCTGCCCATCCTCTGAACTGGTGTCACCAGAGGCCACCTTGCCTGCCCGTCTGTGGACTGTTCGCTTATAATAAAAGGTTCAAAGCACTACAAGCCATCGCTGCACTCCGGTATGAAGTGTTTTGTGCAGCCCCTCTGGACAGAGGGTTGTTTTGCAGGCCTTACCAAGAATATTCACATCCAAATGGTTTTTCCCTGAGTTCTTCAGTAGCTCTCGTAGAAACGCCATCAGATATTCAAACACATTTTTATGGAACACTGGTAGGTCAGAGATAATCTGAAGAGGGAAAAACACCAGCATTTATATTGCAGACACAGCAATGCCTTCCAGCTGCACCTGCCCCCAAAACCCCCCTGTGTGCAGGTGTCAACAGCTCTTTAGAACCTGAAATCACCAGTTCCAGATCATTTCTATTAACAGAGGATTAAGTTACTGAGAGCAAAACCGGGTAATTGGTGTAGCAGAGGCCAGTTTCCCTGTCCATCCTCTGAACTGGTGTCACCAGAGGCCAGTTTGCCTGCTCTCCCTGTGGGACTGGTGTCACCAGAGGCCAGTTTCCCTGCCCATCCTCTGAACTGGTGTCACCACAGGCCAGTTTCCTGCCCTCCCTGCAGGACTGGTGTCACCAGAGGGCAGTTTCCCTGTCCATCCTCTGGGACTCGTGTCACCTGAGGCCAGTTTCCTGCCCTCCCTCTGAACTGGGGCTGGTCCCTGGGCAGCCAGCAGTACCTGGCAGCTCAGCCCGTAGTTGCTGGCGCTCTCCAGGCAGGAGGTGTAGAACCTGCAGCAGATGACAGGCTCAGGAAGGCTCTCCAGGAACAGCAGCAGGGCCTCTGCCACTGAGTGGTTGCTGCCCACTGATCCAATGGTTAAGGAAGAGCACAGCACGACCTAGGCTGGTCCTATTTCTGCTGAAACAGGAATGAACTTTGGGTTAGGTGTCCCAGAATGCTGCCCACAGCTCACAGCTTTGGGTTGATCCCCTGGCCTCCACACGAGCTGTTGCTGTTAGCAGTTGGGCACTTGTGTCATTCATTGACATGGCCAGCACTCAGCAGAGGATGACACAGAGCCACGAGGAAATGCAGAGCTCAGGAACCCCGGGAGGAGAGACAGCAGCTTAAAAACCTCTCTCAGTTTTGGCACTCTGGCACAGTGAGCCTTCCTGGACATCAGTCTAAAAGGATACAGAAAGTGTCGTACATTCCCTTGTCCAAACAGTCTCGGATTTGCTCAAATTCAGATCTGAGGCCTGGCTGCTGAAACAGGTCCTCCTGCAAAGACAACAACACTGTATCAGTCCAAGGAAAATAGAAGAATTGTGGGTAAATACAGCAATGTCCCTATAATCAGCCTGGAAAGTCTCTCCAAATTGGTGGTTACCACCCAAGTCTGCTTGATACCTGGACACTGCTGGACACACAGACACGGTCACTAGCACCAAACAGTACAGCCTGGGGCATCAGGGCCACTCATCTCCCATGGCCTTTGGCCAAACACACCCAGCTCACAGTGATTGCTATTACCAGTATCTTCTTCAAAACTCAACCCAATGCAAGCATCTCGTTTTGTGTTTCCAGTGCCAACCTGCTGGGAAGCGTTGCGATTCAAGTGATCCACCATCATCCACAGCTCTTTTGGGATCTCCATAGGCTTTTCATCTTGGGCAGGATCATCACTCATGTCTACTGGCATCAGGGTCTGAGGGAGGGCAGTGTGGGCAGGAGGGAGACAAACAAAAGGTAGCTAGCCAAGTTCTTATTCAACTCGGCAAAAGTACTTCACAAAGCTTATACCTGAGAATTGAGACTTCTTAATAAAAACAGACAGGCCTTAGCATCTAGTTTTAATGCTCTTGTGTGTTTGGAAGGGAATCTTGTCTTTAACTCACAAGTCTCCGAATGGATTCTGCTGACATGTCCTGGATTGGTTCCCTCATGTAACACAGTGTATGGATAGGAGACCCAAAGCAACTTGGCAAATAGTTGCCTGTTACGGATAGAAAATAATCCTTCCCTCTGACAAGGTGCAAGACTAAGATATCTTCAAGCTTTTCCTCTCCAGAGTTTAAGCGAGTAGCTGTTGATTTATTAACAAACACCTCCAGCTCAACTGTGATCTCAGCATCTGCCAGAAGATGATAAAAAAACCAGACTCAGTTACAACCAGTTTTAAACCCACAGCCTGCAAAGACGCACAGCATGCTCAGAAGTGCAGAGGGAACTAAGCCAGAAGGGGACAATATCAGCTCATGAACATGAGACAAAAGGAGGAGCTCACCTGAGAGCAAGAAGCCCTTACTGGGATTAGCAATCAGCCACTCCTTGCAGTAGGTTTTCTCATCTGGTTTGGTGATAAATTCGAACTGGCAGGGCACTTGGCCATTGCGGATTGTAAACCTCTCTACCTGCAGCTGCATGTATTTAACATCCTTAAAATGGATCTAGAAACAAATGTCAGTCAACATCATCAGCCAATTCACCTTGCTTGAGCAGCAATTCCTGTCCTGTGGTTTAATTATTAAGCAGAAAGACAAATAGATTAACCCCTTGCTCCCATCCCCATCTCCTCCAGGACTGCATAGGATCACATGTGCATACTCTGAATGCCAAAGTTCTTTCTGTCAGGGGGCCCTTTAAAACAAATGCTGCCCTCAAATAACTACAATAAAATTGAGAATGAGATAGCTGTGGCCTCAAATGTCTCCTGAGCTTATCTTTATAGTTCCAAGGCACAAAGCAAATGCTGGTTTGTGACCTTCTCCAGACCCTTACAATTCTACATTTTATGTTTGAAAGCACAAGCCAGAGCAAGGGTCACAAACCACCTTTTTACTTTCTCTCTTCCCACCTCAGGGAATGACACACCTTGTGTTTCAGCCTTGGACTGTGAATGGCATTCACCAGCATCTAAATAGGAGCAAAGATTCCTAGGGCTTGCAAACAGAGAGCAACTGGAAGTCAAAGTATTCTACTTTTTGGAACCAGACCCAAGGGTCCAGGATCCATCTTCTACTGCTGGGGTCTAGGGTTGCTCAGTTCCTTCAGGGAGTGCTGGCACATGACCATGCCCTACCTCTCTGCGGGACAGTGTCACCGAGGGAATGTTGGCATTCTCCAGCTTATCCAGGGAGCGCACGATTTCCTCAAAGGCTTTTCGGTAGAGCTCTTCATTCACAACCTTCACCTGAAAAGGACACACGCTGCACCAGCTAGCATTGACTGTCCTCAGCAGGACAGCTGGAACACAGCTGCAAACATGGGAGGTGATTTGATGTAACAGCACTCTAGGGTACACAGCACAGGGAATGGGCAGAGCTGTTTGGAGCACTAATCTCCAAGATATTTTCATGATCCAACACTAAAGGATCTTGCCATGACTAACAAGAATCACTCAGTCAGTACTAGATCAACCTTTTTCTTTTTTTTCCCTCAGAAAAAATGTTTGACAAGACACTACTGTGTTCCCAAAGAACACTGACAGATATTCAGGCCTTGTCCAGCTTAACTGCAGTATCATTTACATAACCCTTGCTCAGTGTGGTCAACAATCCCATCTCCGTATCTGATCCAGCCCACCTTTCAAGCCATTGTTCTATGTGGGTGCCAGAAAAGCAGGAGAGAGAAATCAGCACCCAGGGAATGAGGTCAGCAGAGTTACTTCATCCAGCACTGACACACTTACCCCAATATCAAACACAGAGCTCACTGGTTTGTGGTCACTGAGCTTCAGAGCCATGTGGCTGCGATAGCTCAGCTGGGCAATGTTCTGCCCTTTCCAGAGTATCCGATCACACCACGCTGGAACCCGACACTTCTCACTAAAACACAGGGGAAAAATCACCATTTCCAGGCACAGTGCA